ACGTCGTAACCCAGAAGAATACAATCCAAATTTTCATCGCTAGGAAACCTGAATTGAAACGCACGTTTTTAAGAGTGCACGGAAAAAAAACCTAACCTAACCACGTGGTAAAAGCAATCCGTAAAATGATTTTTACTGCTTCGCACATTCTGAAGTCACCTGATCGAACCCAGGCGGTAACACTAAAGCATTAAGCCTAATTACGCTGCGCTGGGACCATCAACGGATTTCCTCTCTCACCTGTAGCGTTCCGGAAGCCCTCAGATGCACCGTCCTGTCCTACCGCCGCGGCTTTGCAACTAACACTGCCCCACAAAACACCGCGCGCGCAACTCCTGAGCCAAAATTAGCACCGCACAATCCGCTTCGTCGTCACGTGACACTTATTTTTGGTATAAATTTAAAGGACGTACCGAGGAATGTATTAATAAGACGCACGACTTTTGTATAGGCATTTATTTCCGCACATGGGTGCCTATGTTTTATTTCATAAGCAGCACGCCGTGAAGAAACCCCTAGGTTCACCGAAGTCGTCAGTTTGAGTCCAATTTTTATCACGGGACTCCATTTTGAGCAAACTTTTCCTTTCTTTGAGCTCATACTCCATCTATGTTAATATGGAGTACACAAATAAATATAAGTACGAAAAAAACATGTCACAGAATTTTACGAAAATAAAATATGTTCACTCAAGGCCGTCTTGCGTAGTTTGAAGGCCAAAGTCCCTAATGACAGCTCTTAATACAATAAGAAATAAATTCAGGAACTACATTCTCACAGCCCACCGGTTAAGAACCGCTACTTGAGTAACCTGTTCCCATTCCGAGTGGATTAAACCGCCTTTGTTAGATTGTCGCTAACATATTTATTTATTCGCTGTTTATTTAACCCTTTGAATCTAAATAATATTTAATAATTCAGTCCGTACCTCAAAGAAAACACCAGACCTCACCATTAAAAAAGATGAATTGGTTGATAACGTTTGAGGAAACCACAAAATCAAAACGCACCCCAGGTTATAGTGTCAATAACAGGATGATTAATGAATAACTATTACGAAAGGATCTGGAAGGAAGCAGTAGTGGCCTAGTTTTGAGGAATTATAACCAAAAAACCTCTCCGGGCTGAGACTCGAACCAGCATTCTCAGGAATACGAGGTGCAGGTGCTATGAACGCGCCTTACTCTAGCATCATCTCCAGCTACGAAGACGCCCTAAATGCGCCCCTGAGAGAGCATCCTGTTTCTGCCCACTCCTACAGATTCTTGGCAACACGTCTTAGCGCACACCGAGACCGTCAGCATGTAAACTGACAACGGGTAGGCACGATCTTTCGCGATTCTGATGTTCACATGTTCAAGACACAAAATCTATTGTTGGGAAATCAACCGTAGCACGGCGCTGCAATTGCTTTCAGTTTTATTTCGTAATAACTACATCGCATTATCGAAAGACGCTGCTAATAAAGACGAATCTCTTGCTTTATATTTTGCGCCTCTCCTGCCGAGAGATGTGTAAAGATTAATTTCGTAAAGAATTGTGACGAACTTCCACACGTCCTTGCCTCGTTTCCTTTGTCTTTCGGTTAGTCATTAAAAGTTTAAAAAAGTACATCAGAACATCCTAATGTCACTGGCGAACAGCCAACCAATGTATTTTACTAAGAGTCGCAGAATCTGTACTGCCGTAGTGTATTCTCGTGAAAGCGTATCTTAAGAATTGCGTTACGAAGAATGTACGAAGTGTAGACCAAACCCTGGGAGTTCTGTGCTTCAAGAACATCCATATGGTGCCTATTCCTTGCAGTTCCTCCAATTCTATGTTGGACCTCGTCCATTACCTAAAGTATATCTGATACGACGTTTCGGGAGTTAGCTCTATTCCCGTCTTTAGGCCATTGTTTTTCTTTGTACCATGTATCAAATAACCTCATACGATGGATAGAGTTAATATAATAAATTAATAAATAAACTGACTGAGACTCAATTCCTTCAATTATTAAAGTTAATGACTTTATGTCTAGTGGCGAAACCTGAGAATCAGTTCCTTCAATAGTAAGGTTAATGACTTTATGTCTAGTGGCGAAACAATGTAATTGGACTGGTTATTGTTGCAAAGGCACCAATGGCATTTTCTTCCTCTTTTCCTTTCTTTCTCTATAATTTAAATTAGAGGAAAAAGAAACAATTTGACATACAAGCAATTCCATAAAATGGGAAAGTTTTTCAAACATGACACAATCGACAAGCTGAATCGGAGATACGATCTTAACTTACGTGCCAAAACCTGGCGTTGTAGCACTGCGCTATAAAAAAAATATAAGCGTCTCAAGTTCTTTTGTAAGTAATTACACCAAATTTGTATCTTCAGACAAGCTGCTGGAACGTGAATTTGTATTTGTATTATTGTGAAACAATTAACACAGCCAGTTAAATGATTCAAAGTATGGGTGAAGTGGCAACTGTGAGCCATCAAAGTTGGCAAAGAGGCAGGAACCCACTGACAAATTTAGTATAGAAGGCAGAAGAAGGTCAAATGAAGTCAGCCCTTTCAACAAATTAATCAAGACATCTGCCATGCTTTGCACAGTAACAGGACTATCGCGAGACCGAGCTCCATTCCATCGCTGATTTAGTTTCATTGTTGACGTACGAACGTTGCGGGCAGAGAAAATCTTCCAAAGTATACGGTGAATCCAAAAGAGAGTAGACATGAAAGCCAGAGTGGCTAGCCTCAAAGGTTTCCATGGTTTTCCTCAGAGACTCCAAATCAAAGTCAGTATAGCAACCTACAATACATCAGGCCACTTCCTTTCCAATTCATGGTGCATATATCATCCTACCATTAAACAATATAAAATTACTGGAAGCACTGTCAAATAAAATAAAAATAAATAAAAATTAAATTTGTTCTATACTCTCTATTTTAAAAACATATTTGAAATGTGTTTTGATATCGTGTAACTTTTAGACAGAATATATCAACAGGAGATTTGGTAGATCTCACTGTAGATCAAAGATTAATAATAAGATCGATGTTTAAAAAGTAGGGTTGTGAGGGTGTGGGGGTGGACACGTCTCATTCAGAAAACAAGTGGCTGACTCTAGTGGACACAGCAATGAAATCTTTCGAGTCCATGAAATGCGGGCCAATTTCTTGAAAAGCTGAACAACTAGAAACATTTCAAGGAAAAATACACAATGCAGTTGGAATATTTAATGACGAATAAAGTTAAATTCATTCCTGAGCCCAAGAACTACACCATTAAATCACGCATGGATACCGTAGGCAGACATCCACGGATTCTTAACGTCAGAAGTAGATGGGGACGAGCGATCGAACTCATGTTCTGGATACTTTTCCCCCCAGGGTACAAGGAAAAATAATTTCTGACTCTACACAGCATAATATCCACAGTGCGTTGGTTTCCCAACAATACATTTGCATGTAAATGAAAAATTCCAATGTATGAAAAATTAAAAGCAGTAAATTTGAGAACAGGGAGTTCTTAGGTCCTTTTAGAATTCAACTGTGGTATATCATGGAACCATGGCCACAAACCTTGGACGACAGCCAAAACTGCTGTTGTGTTAAGTATTTAAATTGGACACATGTGCAATGAACCTAGGTCTGGTGTTGAAGGAAGCAAATACGGATGAGAGAAAACAGAATAAATTAAACTCCGCACACAACACATCACTCTCCTGGCATCGCGGAGTGAGCAGCGGACCTGAGAATGCAATTATCATCTTCAAAGCCGTGATTGTGCATCACCGGCTGTCATTTGAGTCTCAGGAACTGAGCTGCCTCCTGCGTTGAGGCTACGACGCTACAAGCACGGCGATGAATACGTGATCACAGCGACTGCGTGTCATGAGCTGAGTGGACAGCTTGCGGTAGTCATCATTGGACAACACATAGCTTATTTATCAGACAGGGTGGGGCCCTAATTTAAGTTGGATTTTATGTTATTTCAATATGAAAATTATAAGAGAAGAGTTCATCATGAGAAGCTGGCAGTTACTCAGCTCGTCAAGAGCTTGCCCATCTTTTACGGAACCTGAAGGTTTATTGACGTGTTCAAAACAGCCTGATAAAATTTCAATAAAAGCCCCCCCCCCCCACTCACATATAATGTCCAAAAACAATCAAATGCAGAGTGCCGCAGCCTTGTTAAACAGACAAATTTTCATAATTTAACAACTTACTTTAACCATTTCAATATTTCCATTTTTTTCCCTTCAGAACAGACTGCACATATTTTATTATTATTATTAACTGCAAATGGGTTTTTACCCAGTGGCAGTGGTACTACAATAAGACATAACAAAACAATGAGACACAAAAACATAAGAGACAACAAAACATAAGACACAACAAAACAATGAGACAACAAAACCTAAGACACAACAAAACAATGAGACACAACAATAAGACGCAACAAAACTGAGGCACAACAAAACAATGAGACACAACAAAACAATGAGACAGAACAAAACAATAAGACACAAAAAACATAAGACATAAACATCTTGGCTTTCGCGGTAGTGACTGCATGATCGCGTAGTTAAAAGGATTATTTACGCTGTAATCTCAACCCGTGGTTGAGTTCGTCCCAGTTATCAAGGCAAAAAGCAACATTATTACAAAACAATTCTGAATAGGAACGTATCAGACAAGCGTACCGCAGGACACATTCTAATGCGTTTTATCTAACGTGTTCTCTGTGAATACAAGATTCAATTAAAGTGTAGCAAAATACTTTTAAATTACATGAGTCATAGATTCTTTTAAATATCTGACGTACTACCTCCCATGGTAATTTATTTATTACATCAAAATTCACGCTGATGTCCAGATGTAAAATTTAAATTATGACAGAGATAGCAATTAAATGACTGGGCACAAAGTACGAGGCTGCCAGCCAAACTTTAACGACAGGGTCAATGGTAAATGTATGGCCAGCTGGATTTTACGGATGAAAAAGTTTTGAGACCTACCTTCTGTGAAGAGAGCACCCGCTGCCTTTCCACCTGACTGACAAGTGCAGCGCTCTGGGACTGTGAAGCCTTCACCAGCGGCTCCATTCCTTGCAGAATCACTTGCGCCCCGAGGAACTTGTTCAGCAGAGAACGAGCCTCTGCATCCTCTTTCGAGTCACTAGCTGCGACATCTGAAATATATGGCACTTTCATTAATATTATTTTACAAAATACTTTATAATATAGACAAAAAAAAAAATTGTAAAACCAACACGCACTAAATACAAGTCAATCAGAAAAATTAAATTTTAATAAGATTTCATTTGTCTTCCATAATTCTATCGTTCAATGTCGCATCAGTGGTTGTCTGTCGGGTAACAAAGCCATTTAATTCTCACCTTGATCAGCATTCTTCATGCGAGTGAGCACATCTTGAACGCCAGTTACACGTGTCTGGTTGGTGAGGAATGATTTGCCTTCAGTCTCAGTAAGGGATGTGCCATATGCATTATTTGCAGTTGACCCCACATGCACATCCGCTGGCACAGACTGCTTCAGATTTGCTGTGCCTAAATAAACAACGAGGGTAAAACAATAATTTTATTAACACAAAATAAGTGTAATTTTCAAGGAGACGGTCAACACACCTGTCAATATGGTGAATAATGTTAAAGTCGTATTTTGTTGCGCTGTGTAGTCTGGTAGAAGTTTACCGACATTTCAGAGGTCCTTGCTGCATCTATTATTATCCTGATGATTGAGGCAGCAAGGACGTATGAAACGTAGGTAAACTTCTACCAGACTACACGGCTCAACCACCCAGAAGACAGCCATCTTCAGACTCACCGCCGTGATAACCTCAAATCCTACGTAAATACATGATGACAAGTCCTTCTTGAGAAGCTACTAGCCAGACAGTCGATAAATTTTCTGCCATTTAAGGAAATTGATGGTTCATTACTACGTTGTCACTGATACTGATACTAGCAAGTACCAGATTTCATACGGTGAACTACGTGTCAACAGACTACTGCTGTGGCATACGCTAAACAACAAATCATCGCGTTTATTTTAAAAATAATATCTTATTATAGTTTAAATATTAAAATCAGCAAATATTCATGCAATGATAATATATTCATCACCACATATAAAGAGATGTTACTTTTATTCAATTTCCAAGAAGTCCACCATGAAATAATGCATAAATAATGTCAATGCACGTAGGACACCTAAATTTGGTTGGTTATTTTGTTACTTTATAACACTATATTGACAGTTCAAGTCATCTGGCATTAAGCCAGAATGGTAGAATAATTGTCAATCTCATCATGTATGGGCAAACTGAGGAAAACCATGACGGGACAGTTTATGACTTGGGTATGAACTGAACGCCTCCCGTGCAAGGCCAACGCACTAAAACTGCTAAATGTACTCTCCCACTCAGTTTCTGCATCTGTAGGTGCCCTGCCGTTCTTTCCTTCTATCTCATTCATATGGAGAATTTCAGTAGGACTTCATACAACAACGCAGACACGACCAATCCTCATCTTAAGATTCGGTAATTACCTGATGCCTCCTCCCCCATGGGAGTCGTGGCAGGACTGGTTCCGTTGCTAAGTTGAAAACTTGACGAGCGGAAGATGAGCCCAGCCTTGGGGTAAGAACGCTGCGAGCGAGAGTTGTCACTGCTATTCGCCTCGGCTGCTAGGTCATGGTGTCAAATGTTAAGAGTGGTAGTAGGGGAAGCAAGGTCAGGGTCATTGTTATTGGCAGCTGTTATATTGCACACAGATTTGAAGAGGGGAATTAGCTTCATTACACGCTGCAGAAGTGACGACGTCGTCATAACAAAATCAGTGTTTGTTCTAACAGTTAGAACGCAGTATAAGTCAATAAATAAGTTTGCACCAGTCACCATTCACTGGAAGAGACTTTCAATCGTGCTTCTTACTTTCACAAATTTATGATTTAAAACATCAATTAAATAAGTCGTTAAAATAGTTTTGTACATCATAAGACATTCATGTGTAAACTATCTTAATGGAACGCTGCTACTTCGATAACATAAAAATAGTCCGTCCACACCTGTTGGTGATATGACCATTTAAGAGAAACAATTTTATTTCTTTAAATATTAATTAACTTGTTGTGTATGGGCAGACGAGTCCAAAGACTGCTTTGGCGCATAAACATCGTGTAAAATTAAAATTTTAAATCACTTTACATGGGACGATTAAAATTGCTATTAATGTGAGTGGTGTTAATGTTACAAAATGTACGTTCCTGCTTCCTCACCTGCAGCCTGTTGGAACTTCTGTGACAGAGCTCGAACGGAGCCCGCACGGGCAACCCTAGAGAATCCCGAGCTGCTGGTACCAGGTAGAGGCGATGCCTCTCTATCGCCATCTAGCGCAGCTGACGATCTCCTTCGGCCCGGCCCACTCATCTGAGGGGTTGAAGATCGCGAACGAGCGGTTGTCTCGACTGTCGTCACGGCCCCACTGCGATTCTGCGTCGCTGAGCTGCTGCTGCTGCTATTGTAGCAAATTTCTGACCTCTGCACTTCAGTCTCTGTTTCACTGGAATACCTGTCACAACATGACACAAGGCACGAAGACAATCTGCGTTACTTACCAATCCATCGTAACCAAGAATAATAAGTGAGTCTATTCTTGACTAATACATTCATTCAGCTCAAAATTCCTAGATTGTATTTATGAAATATCCACATCCTGTTTACTGTGTACTCTACTGGAAGACACATCCCTAATAACTTTCAGAGTCAAAATGGCAAACTACTGTGAAGCACGCCGAGAATGAACAGTGAATACTAAAGCATCCCCTATTCATTATTTATTTTCTAAATCCAGTTTAAACCATTTGATTAAATTAATTAATTTCCTTGATGCCACTGATAATGACCTCTTGAGGTTGAAACGCGTATGGCAATAGCGTCTTTTTTATAGTGTTAATAGTTTGTTTGTTTGTTTACTTATTTTATATGCCATTCATTTTCTCAACATGAACTATTCCAACAAGCAACATACCTTCTTGATGATCTTTGTTTATCTGATTCAGTCGTAGATCTCGACACATATCGATATCCGTCATTCTCATCGTCGTTGTTGCTCTGCACGGAGCTCCTGCTGTCGCCTCTGCTTCTCCTCCTCTCTGAATCCACAAAGTAATTTGTGACCTGTCTCTCTGTTTCAGATCTATTGAATGAAGTGCTGGAATATTTTTCATAACCAGATGCTGATGTCTTCCTGGTACCTTCAAAATCATCGTACACGGACGACGGTGTCCTTCCAGACTGCGTTACGGCAGAACTTGCATATTTCCCATCCCTTAAAGTGGCAGGTTCTACTTCAGTGTCGGTATCGACAATGTTTCCCCTCTCTGGAGAGGAACGTGATGGTATCCCATTTTCATCTGTGACTTTCTGTTGACCTGACAGAAATGCTGTTGCCGAGCTCACAAATTTCTCATCATCTTCAGTTGTCGCATCTGCTGTAACCTTGGACTTTCTGATCGTATCCTGCGTAGTGGTGCTCCTGATTTTGTCACATCTACTTCTGTCATCTTCAGATATCTTTGACCTTCTAGAACTGTTACTACTTGTAACAGAAGAGGTCGTGATACTGGATAATTTCACGTTCTCATCCGGATATCCTCGTTCCGACGACGGCGTATTTCCAGTCGATGATCTTCTATTGGATGTGGTGGATTTTCTTGTAATATTGCTCTGGTCATCATAATCATATCGATCGTAATACAATGGTGCAGAAGTAGTTTTATCTTCCGGAGTCTTGTAGCTGAATTGTGTCCTTGTTATCCTTGTAACAGGTTCCTCACCTAATTTGGCTACAGTTTCGCCTGTTGATAAATAAAAAACATGTCATCAGTTCATATAATGTGTTTAAAAAATGATTTATTTGCAGGAAACCGAAATCCCAATATCATTAACCCATATAAAGAACTTCTTCTGCTCTGCGTATTTTTTATGTTAATTATTAACATTTTTACGAGACAAGGCAAGTGAAGCACAGCCAAATGACACCTGCAAATATAATGGAACTCTAGTCAGTATAGTGACTAGCTACGGGCTGGACGACTGGGGTTCGATCCCCGACTGGGGGCAGAGGATTTTTCCTCTAGCCTCTGCGTCCAGACCGGCTCTGGGGCCCACCCAGCCTCCTCTACAATGTGTACCGGGGCCCTTTCACATTTATGAATTGACAGAATAATAATCTAAATTATTTACCAGATGTAATTATACATATATTATACTACCTAACAGGTAAACAAACACCGGTAATAAAGACGGCTATCTTCTGGGTTGTAGCACTGTGCAGTCTAGTAGAAGTTTTTCATTGTTTCAGAAGTACCTGCTGCCTCCATCATCAGCCTGTTAATGGAGGCAGCAAAATCACATAGCACTACAACCCAGAAGACAACTATCTGTGTACTTGCTGGTAATGAGGATTAATAGGCAAATTAAGACTAGCAATTTATTCTAGCTAATTAAAAGAAAATTAAAAACTGTAGATACTGTTTTGCCATACAATCAAATATCAAGACTTATATTGAACACACTTCCTTACCGACATCTTGTACCGCCTGGTTATTGGAGATGACAACAAGTGAAACGAGGAAAACCATAACCATTACGAACAGAGTGGGGAAGAATATCCACAGCAGTATAATCGTCACCACGATCGCAAACAACAAGAATGCCACAGGGGAGCCACTTTTGTCAGACGGTGCGCCGTCTTCTCCGTCGTCCACCTTCTCCAAATTGTCGCATGACAAAGCCATTATATATATATATATGTCTGAATTATGTTTTTACTTTTAAATTCTTTCACCACATTTTTTTGTTATTAAAATATTTTCTTCCATTTCCTTTTGCAAATCTCAAATAAATTTTATAGACATCCACAAAAGTCTATATTTTTTTCTAATTTTATGCTGGTTTCTGCCGTTCCTCCAGTTTCCCATGTGACTACTACAAGATGTTAGAGACAAACTCTTTCCACTGGGGCCACCAACCGACTGAGTTGAACATTCTGACGGCGGGTTTACAGTGGAGCTAGCCAAAATGTGATTTTTTTTTAAATGAGGCAAGTTGCCAAATCTCTATCTGCGAGTTCTAAGCGCACGACAACGTGGAAGCTCCATAAAGCCACGCTACAAACATTTTAAAATGTGCAGTGTAGGACACTTCAGAAGACCAATGCCCCATGCCACGGCCCTTTCTTCTGACGCCAGACAGCGGCGTGGCTATTTTAAAACTCCAAGTAGCTCTTGATATAGGAGTGACACAAATCCATTCTAAAAGAATATTCAATTCACCACTCGGAATAAATAATCTGAGCTCAGAATTTATTTTACTATATTCGCTAGTTCTGACATATTTAACTAATAATATGATATTTTAACCCTTACTTCACCAGATAAAAAAAAGCTTAAAATCCAAACATCAGTGCAGTGTAAGTTTTTTTTAAATTAAATGAAACTGACATTTCAGTCGACAGTAAGAACGCACAGATAAATAATTCAGTATGAAATAGGCTCACACAGTCAACATTACTGTAGCATTCCGAGAAAATGATATGCATGCCTGCGAGGTCTCATTCCCAAGTCTAGTGGCAGCGTATTACTGATGTTCTAACATAACGGACGAGTTCTAAATTTCAAAATGAGTCCAGGAGTTGC